CTAAAAAGGCCCCTGGCCAGGCGTTAGGATTCAAGGTATTGTCAGGAGTAGAGAAAAAAAAATTATTGAGGAATTATGCTTAAGTATAATACAAAAAACATAGATGATGTGTGTTGAAATCTTGCTCAATTAAAAGTGGAAGTATCCAGCCAAAAAAGTGGCTACTTTAAAATGTACTCAAATATATGTAACTTTGTTAAATATAGCCAGTTTAACTTCGTTAAATACAGCCAGTTAATGTCAATGTTAATGTTAAAGTCAACTCAACATACTTTTTCAAACTAGATGGAGTTCATGCCTTTTAGGGAGGCAAAGGAGACACCTCATTTTATATGAGTCATTGCTTACTCTAACATAATGGAACATTTTACTGAGGTAGGGCGGGGGCGCTCATCCTCAACTCTGCAGTCTTGTGGCTTATCTATATTCACACCGATAGCTGTAGTGTAGCTGTAGCTGTAGTGTTAGCTACAGCTATGTGTCTGAAAGTGGATAGCTGGAGGATAGCTGTAGTGGACTACAGTGTGTTACTACATTGTGTAGCATCAGAAGGTCATCGCAGTTTACAATTTTTTTCAGGATTCTAGATAGTTGTTTCTACATTGATGAACTTGATTAGAGTTGTGAACTGTGCCAATTCGATTGATTTAGAATCAATCGAATTGGCATCACTGGCTGGATGAGAGAAGAACAGACCTTTGAGATTTGTTACAAGTACTTTGAAGGTTTAAATACACAAAGTAAGGGTTTTTTGTATGTAATTAAGTAAGGGTACAAGTGTTAAATTTCAACAACACTCAAATAAAGTGTAAATAACTTAAGTATAATAATGAAGTACAATTTCTCAAATATTATCTACACCTTGGTATTTGCTAATGATTCTTCAGCCACATCAGTGCAAATCTTTCATGTGGTGGGTCTTAGCATGCATTGTAACATGTTCCTCTTACATGCAGAGTGTAAAACACTATTTATTCACCAAAAGCTTCAGAGGTTGTAGGGTGTTCATGGACACTTCATGTCCAAAAACACCCTACAACCTCTGAAGCTTTTGCCATGTTGTAGGTTTCACTTTTATAGTGTTGACAGAGCCAGGCTGCAGTGCTGGCCAATTCAGACGCAGAGTCTGTGGAGTGTTTGAGTGACGGCACCAGCCTCCAGTAAAAGCGGTCCAGTGTCCTAATCTATACGCACTGCAGCAATTTCCATTATACCTCAGAGATTGTAGTGTTCGGTTTGGGGGGCACTAAGGGATCCATAGATGTCATGGCACCTTAACTGAACCCCCATTTTTCCATCTTAACTAATTCTTCATCACTTCATCCTGTCTTCTGAATCCTGGGAAAGCACAGTTATACCACAAGTAAGATGGGTGTCATCCAAACCATGGCTCCTCTGCTTATTATTCAGTCTCCTGACATCATCGTCTGAACTTTCATGTCAAAGGAGATCTTGAGGCAATCATTCAGAAAGCTCGATCCCACCCAGAGGCATCATAAATGTTTCACATTATTATGTCAAATATAATGGAGAGTCCGAGGACAGTTTTGAGTGCCAGAGGCTCTGTTCTCCTTTGAAACTTAAACACTCCCAGTCTTACATGGGTGCAGCGGCTGTGGTTAAACTGACACGTGCCAGCCTTGTCTTGGGTTTGGAGGCACTCTATTGGCTCACCTCTTCCTTCATGTAAGCCCAGTTTGTCTCTACAGGAAAGAGAAACTCCCTATAGCTGCGTTTCAAAAAGAGGCTTGTCTTTCCTGAACAACTCATCAGCTGTCACGCACTAAGCAAGTATTCTCACTGGCAGGGGCAGCGCTAAGTCAGCCACATTCTTTGACGCAAGGGCTCACACCTTCCAGCAGATACAGATATCAGGCAGATACACAGGCACCATGCCAGTGTTTGAATGTGTCTGTGTGTGGGGGCATGTTTTTATATCTTGGAGGGTACCAAATGTCCCCACAATGTTTTCTTTTGCTAGGGTTAGATCTAGGTAGAGGCATAGTATCAATGAGCTGCATTAATAATTATGTCAATGGAAGGTCCTCACAAGGACAATAAGACAAACACGTGTGTGTGTTTGTGTGTGTGTTTATTTGCATGTGGATGCATGAGAGCAAGAGACAGAGGGAGAAAGAGAGAGATCAATTTCCTTGCTAACTTTGTTATCTAATATTTTTCCTGTTCTCTAAAGTTACTCCCAGAAGAAATGTGTCCCAGATTTGCAGCTCTCAGGCTGTAAAGGTAATCAGCTCATTTGTTGAGAAATGATGCCCTCTTCTGTTCATGTAGAATAATACGGAATAATGCAGTGTGTTTATTTGTGCTCTTTTTTTTTTTTGGTTTTGTTTTGTTTGTTTTTTGTCTGTGTACCACAACATTTAAATTTAAAATGAAACAAAACCAAAAGGTGCAGATTTATTTTTTGTTTTTGTTCTTGTGTATGTAATTATGTACGTTATGTAATGTTCTTATGTAATTTCTTATGTAATTGTTTTGTGCTTATGTAATTTCTGTTACATGTTATATGTCGTGTATATTGTGTGAGTGGGGTGAATATTGAAATCATATCACATCCAAAATGTCACTAAAATAATTGGACAAATTAAAGGAATTGTTTGTCATTTTAGAATCCCTGGCTGCCTGTGAGCTGAATTGCAATTACATTGAGGAACGTAATGTAATTACATTACTGGCCCTACTTCTGGGCCAGAAAAATGTAAACAGAAGCTTAAATGAAAAATGCAAGCAAATAACAAATATATTTTTGAAACTCTTATTATAGGTTTAGAAAAACATTACAAACAGAAGTGTTCATGTTTAGCACCAATGACGTCATTCACAAAGTTATTCAAAGGACATCATAACAGGCATGCTCCTTGGTGATACCATTTAATGCAGCCATTTTCACTTCCTGCTTGTTTTTGGATATTTTGTTTCAGTAACCTGGGGGCAAAGTGGTATTGATTTTACCTCAGTAAAATATTTCAATATGCTGTAAAGTGTGTAGATGAATGAATAAAAGTTGAAATTAAGTTGTCGCATAAATATAGGGAATTAGAATATATTGTAAATGTCTTATATATTATTAATTTCAGTCTTCTGAACTCACCTAATTGTTTCTTTGTATTATTTGAGTTCAAAAACCTCCTTAAAATTCCTCATCATCCATTTTTATATATTTTTACCTGAAAATGTGAATATGGTGTACCTTTAAAAATGATTCAAGGTGTATATTTGGATCTTAGGGGCCACTGATGTACCTTTAAGGCTTTATTCTGTTAAATAATTTAAAAGGTACACCACATGCACCTTCCTAGGTAAAATACACACATTAAAGGAACAAAATAGCGACAAGAAAAGTATCGTTTGGTACCTTGGTACCTTTCTCCCCAAGAGTGTGGAATTAAAACAAAATCCCTGTGTGCCTCTGATTTGACTTTTTATTGTATGACAATCTAGTTATGTGTGACAAATGTATGACCTCTTTTCAAAATTCAAACATTAAATATATGAAGTATATGTTTGATTATAAAGATACAAACATCTGCCAAGTTGTTTAACAAGTTTTCATGAATAATTTGTGAATGTGTGAAGGATTGCATTATATTGTAATCCTTTATATTACAATAAAGTATCATTACATAAGGCTCTTATACACAGTCTAATAACTTCTTAAAATATGTTAATATAAAGGATGTATTCTAAAAGCAAGCTAATTGTTTATCACTTAACATAATTGTTAATTTTCTCCATTGTAAATGCCGAGATATTGCATACTATCAATAAAAGAAGGCTACAGTGATTGTCTGGCCATTTCAGGTTGAGAACCACTGGCCTAGACTACATCATCTTGCTCTGTTTCTTGCATTCCCCGTTTGGAAAGTGTATCCCACCATCTTCAAAACTCCACTAACAGCACTTCATCTCTGAATGTCAGTGAGAAAATATACTGTCAAGCAATTCCTGATTCGTGCTGAGATTTTATTCTGATTAATAATTTATGAACAGTGAAGTGAGTTGGAAATGCGTACAATAAAAAAAAACAAAAAAAGAAAGAAAAAGAAAAAAAAAAGAAAGTTCAATAGTCTTGCCATATTTTTGCAAACTCAAGTAAAATCAAGATTAATTGGTTGATATGTAGACTGTCTTGTTTAGGTACTTTGCTGTCCCCATGGATTTTTGGTGATCATGTCAGGTAGATTCCTTTTTGTCCAAATCTATTGCTCATGAATTGCACAAAAAACAAAATATTAACAATTTAAAATGTTTAATTCTAGTTTTATTAAAAAAAACAAACAAACAAACAAAAAACACAGTATTCCATAAATGCAGTGCAAAATAACTGAAAGCCGCTCTAACCAGGTGAGCGGATTTTCCTTACTGTAAGCAAGAGAGGGAGCTGTTGCATCACACATGTGAGAGCAGAATGCTTCTCGTGTAATCACACCTATCCACCATAGTCACTAAACGATTAAAATAAGTCTTTGGTTGATATTGAATGTGTGTTATGTTGAGGTATGCTGATATGGTCCAAAGAGTGTCCAACACCAACAACAATACAGTAGTAAGTTCTACTTATTTTATACATATTATTCATGACTTCTGTTATCTAATATGATAATGTGTTAATTAAATTCTTAGCATGGTCCTCTATGCATTATCGGCTTTTATACCACAGTGCTGTTGTATTGGTGCTGATTCTAATACATTATTGTTTCTATAGTAACAACCTACACAGACCTGTATGGTGTATGCTGCACATAAACTGATTTAAAAAAAAAAAAAAAAAACGTGTAGTGGTTCATATGGCTCTCTGTGAGGAAACATTTATTTAGCCCTTTTGAAAGGAGTCTCCAATGTCAGCGCTAAGACTGTTTCTGTTAAATGTTCAGACATTGGAAAGTGTTTCTCTGTAACATTATTAGCTGCATTTTTTTGTCTTATTAATTTCAAGAGAGAGAAAACAGAGAGGCTGGTAAGGAATCATGTAGGTGGGGGGCACTGTGGCTTAGTGATTAGTATGTTTGCCTCGCACCACAGGGGTTGTGGGTTCAAATTCCACCTGTGTTCGTGGAGTTTGCATGTTCTTCCCATGCTTCTGGGGTTTCCTCCAGGTACTCCGGTTTCCTGCCCCAGTCCAAAGACATGCCTTTTAGGCTGATTGGCATTTCTAAATTGTCTGTAGTGTGTGAATGAGTATATGTGATTGTGCCCTGCGATGGGTTGGCACCCTATCCAGGCTCTAGGCTCCCCTGCGATAAGGATGGATGGATAATGTAGGTGATAACAGGAACTTGTTTGTAGGATGTTCCACAACTAACGTAACTATAAACAGTATTATAAGTAGAATGTTAAAATTATAAAAGTAGAAAATGTCCTTCTTTAAGGACATTTAAGGGAAATAATTAAATATGGGGTGGTAATGGCTTGGTGTTTTATTTTATAGCTATCATTATGCTTTCAGCAAATAATAAATTTAAGGTCTTATATTAGTGAAGACTGATGTAATAAAAATTTGAGAAATGGGCTCAGTGGGTAGTGTTGCTGCCAGGGGTGGAAAATATTTGAGTAACTGTGCTCTGTTACTATACTTAAGTATTAGTTTAATGTATTTATACTTTCCTTAAGTATCATTGACCTACACAGTTCTCATTACAAATATCAAAGGTCTCTTCTAACATCTAGCCAATGACTGTATGCTACACATCACAGGGCTCAGTTTAGCATCTAATCTTTCAGTTTTAAGCATCCAATCAAGTTCAACAATGTCAAAAAAAATAAATATAGCTATAGCTATCCACGTCTCTGAATATGGATAACCCACAAGCCTGCAGTGTGGAACCTGAAGCCCTGCCTCAGTAATATGTTGCAGTGTGATGGACTAAGCAAAGACTTTTATAAGATAAGGCCTCTTTTGCTTCACTAGAAGGCATGAACTCCAACTAATTTGAAAAAGCATGTAGAGGTAAGGTTTGCTAATTTGCTAACTTTAACTCCCTATATTTGATTAAATTGGCCTGCTTTCTTTACTAATGGCAGGCTACAATAGCATGGATTCCAAGTAACTAACCTAAATTTGTTAGGCAGCAAGTCAAATTCTAGCTAATGCTCAGTTAAATATTGCAAACCTACAGAGACTGAATGTTTTCACACAAAACTGTGTAGTCGCTTTAAAAGTAATAATAATAATAATATTAATAATAGTAAACAGTTTTAGATAAGTAATAAAAGTTACTTTTCACATGAAAACTTAATTTCATTAGTTAAAAACATTCACTTTTTAATACTATATTTAAAAATAGCATTTTTTTTTTTTTACTTTAATGTGAGTATACTCTGGATACTCCAGCTGAAATATACTCTGACAAAGCTACTCATAAGGTTTCTCATTTAATGTTGTGTCAAATGCCCTATAATATTCTTTGATATGTTGAATAAGGTAACTATACCTGCTTATTACTAGCAGTCAAAGGGTTTTGTGACTTTATGTAACAGCAATGAAGAGTAACGCTCCTGTCAAAATCTTTGGCACTGTATAGCTTGGATGTTTGTTCTAGTGGCTAATATACATGACTTGGGGGAATTGGTGAACTTCTGTCTCCTGTGGGCCCATAGCGAGCTGAATATCAGCTGACAGATCACTTCAAAGGCCTCAGCCATTGCCAGACCATCAATAGGCCTTTTTACAGGCACTTAATCTGTCAAACTGCAGTAAACCAAAATCATGGAAATACAGGCTGCTCTGACAATTCACTGCTGTTCCTTTTCATTGAATTTCCTTTGCAGTGTACACATACACACACTAAGTCACCAGGTTAGATTAAATGCTCTTGATGGATACTTTAAAAGTAGTGCCTTATTTTTGAGCACCGTGTTCATTTTAATGAGCTCTCCAGCTGCACTCTGCGCCTTCATTTATGGCTTGCATTGAGGCCTTTTTTTAAACTTATCATTTCATCTGTTGTAGGGGCTTTATTAGCAAATGGCTTTTTATTGAGTTTTTGCTTTAAGATGAAATTGGGAAATAACAAGTATTGTTATATTATTCTCTGGATGATTATGATATACTGTTTGCTTATTGAAAACAGCATCACAAGACTATCATGCCTTTAGTATCAGTAGAGGATCACGTACAAGCCACAGTGCCATATTTGTAAGAAAAGTCTTTTTAAAAATCCTATTTATTTTCAATTACAGTTGGTATATTAGAGCAGATAAACACCTGCTTATAGAGCAGCTAATAATCCAGCCCAGGTGGGAGACAGAGGGAGTTTATGAACTGAGAGAACCATGACCTGGGGTCCTCTGTTTGATTGTGGTTACAAAATGATTTGCTGCATTTTTGCTACATTCAAAGTAAATGATTGATGTTAGTAAGAGGTAGGAAAGAGCAACTCTGAGAAATTGCAGCTTGTATTCCGTTTATTTATGTATTTTTTGGAAAGGGATTGCTGGGTGGTTTTAATTGCTTTTGCAATGAGAGCTCCACTCCCATGTAACAGAGTGTACCAGCACAGAATGCAAAGCACGGCACAACAATAAATCCTCCTGGCTTCTTAGAGGAAACTAGCTAGACTTAGAGGGATCTAGGACTGTTACACAAAACTAACCCCATCTCTCATCTTCTTTTTCCTTTTCTTTTCGTCTCTTTTTATTCACTCACTGTCTAAAGCCTCTCAACCTCAACTCAGGGACAAGTTCTGATGGGAAGATTATGATCCACCAGGTCTTATATTACAGTTATGTTTTAAACAAGTAAATCACTATTAAATCTGCACCAGTAACACTTTACTTAAGTGTAGTGTTCATAGGTGTACATAATATAAGGCCTTCATAACAGTTAAAATACTAACTAACAAACATTTAAGGCTTGTTCCAGTAGGCAGATTGTCAATTTTGAACAACAGTCAACGTTTGAGTCAGGTGAGTTTGTCGACATAAAGTTGAGTTATGACACATTCCGAACTTACGTGAGTGAGTAAGTAAGTCAAGACAAGTGACTTGGCAGCTCAGTGCAGCTCAGAACACTGCTTTATGTTAACAAATGTTTGTCACTTGACACAGATGTTACACAAACTTGACATCAACACTGATGAAAGCTGCTTTTTTGACAGCTGCTGCCTACTGGAATAAGACTTTATAAATGTAGGTTTATGTCAGTTGTCATGTAGCCCCATGAACATTTAAGTAAAGTGCTACTGCTGTGCCTCTGCAGAATTTGTCATGTATCTCTCTGTCTCTTTTTCATCAATCTCTGGTGGAGATCACCTTCAATATGCCACCGAGCATCTTTTAGCATACTGATTCAAAATTCAGACTTACACCCGTATTAAATTCTCTTCTGCATTCTTATGAATTTCCTGAATGCAAAATGGGTCAAACCTTTAACCACATAAGCACACCATATCACAAATCACAAAGATCTCTCTTTATATATTTATTGTGATTGGTGTTGCAGAATAGTCACTGAAATGAATGCAAAAAAATTACTAAATATTATGGATTAAGAATAGAATTTAGTAATTAGGAGCAGGAGATCATTGCAGAGGGCCAATATAGATCACTTCAGCAACTTAAGCCATTCTTCCCTTCATACATCCCGCTCTCCACAGGCCATGTGTGCCCCCAGAACCGGAAACAGCTGGCACAGAGAAAGAAGAACTGAGGGCTTCCACAGAAGAAGTGTTTTTAAGTAAGCGGAAGGGGTCATTGTCATTGCCATATACAAAAACAAGGCTTTGGATGCTAGCAAAGGGTCATACAGTAAAGCAGAGGGTCTGGAGCAGTACTGCCAGAGTTTCTGACCCACTGTGCCCCTGCAGGTCAACAGGCCACTTTGTAGAAGTGAGAGAGGGAAGTCACCAATGTTATGGGGTTTATTTGGCACGTGCATTGCACTATTGTTTAGGGAAGCCTCTAGTTGTTTTTTTGCCACTGGCACTTACTGAGTCAGCAACATATTGCCACTTATAAACGCACAACACGCTGGAAATTTAGCAATGTGTGTGTATAATGTCCATAAATATTTGGACATTAACAAAGTTATTGTTATTTTAGCTGTCTACCACAGTATATTGGAGTTGAAATGAAATAATGAATATAAGCTCAAAGTGCAGACTTTTAGCTTTACATTCAAATTGGGTGAATGGTGTAGTATACACAGCACGTTTTATAGACATCACTAGATGCTGGGTTTTTCCCCTGGTGATGCTCTGCCAGGCTTTTACTGCAGCTATCTTCAGTTTGTGCTTGTTCTTGGGGCATTTTTCTTTCAGCAAGTAAAGTGTATGCTCAATTGAATTCTCAGTTGGATTAAGGTGATGGACTTGGCCATTGCAGAACATTTCACTTCTTTGCCTTAAAAAAGTCTTGGGTTGCTTTCGAAGTATGCTTTGGGTCATTATCCACCTGCACTGTGAAGTGCCATCCACTGGGTTTTGAAGCATTTGGCTGAATCTGGGCAGACAGTATAGCCCTATACACCTGAGAATTCATCCTGCTGCTTTTGTCACCAGTCATCAATAAACACCAATGACCTAGTTCCATGGGCAGCCATACATGCCCATGGCATAAGATTAGGTGGTATGCTTTGGATCATGAGCAGTTCCTTCTCTTCTCTGTAGTCTTCTCTTCCCATCATTCTGGTAAATGTTGATCTTTGTCTCATCTGTCTATAGGATATTGTTCCAGAACTGTACGTTGTTGTTTTTTTTTTAAAGATGTTTTTGGTAAACTCTAGTTTGGTCATTACATATTTGAGGTTAACCAATGGTTTATATCTTGTGGTAGACCCTCTGTATGTACTCTGGTGATTGTCTGCTCTTGATTGTTGACTTTGACATAGATGCACCTACGTCCGGGAGGGTGTTCTTGATCTGGCCAATTGGATGGGTTTTTCTTCACCAGGAAAAAAATCTTTCTACCAGTTGTTTTCCTTGGCCTTTTGTACCTTTTGATGTTCGTGAGCTTGCCTTTTTTTTTTGTTTTTAAGAATGTACCAAATAGTTGATTTAGCCACATCTAATGTTTCTGCTATCTCTCTCATGGGTTTATTTTGATTTTTCACCTAA